TTTGGGGACTTGGTAGTATATTCCCGTGTCTTGCAAGTCCAAAGGAGCAAAAGAGAAAAGCCAGTCTCCTTCCACCTGCTCCAATCCCGGCCCCCACCCAAGTTCTGCAACTTGCTTTTCTCCGTTAATAATGCATGTGGGCAATTGCCCTGTGTCAGTACATCAAACACTTCCTCGGGATCCTTTCTCAGCGGCCTGGTGTGCCACTGAGTGCTGGCCGATTATACCTTAAGAGGGTCTCCTACAGAGGTTTGGGATGTGTCCCGTTTTTTGTGATCACACGCAGGCTGCAGGGAACAGCTGTGAGGCACATATGCTTGTGTTTCTACACATCCTTGGAAGTGGGTCGCCGCCGAGTCAGGGGACGAGTGTGTTGTCATTCTGATAGATGTCATCAACTCATCTTCGATAGTGGCTGGGCCATGTTCCTCCCCCTAGGAAGGCAGGAGAGAGCGCGGGCTCACCCACAGCCTGGCCAAGCCCTGTGGTTTCCCATTCCGGCCCTTTGCCAATCAGATAGGTCCCAAATGATAGCTCTGGGTGATTTTATTGTCATTTCATTTGAACGAAGCTGGCCATCTCTTCTGGCGCGTGTGTAAGGGCCATTTGGAGTCCCTTTTCCAGATGAGGCTTTTTTGCTGTTACAGGAGCAATACTGCCCAGAAGAGCAGTGGAGATCTGGACGCATCTCTTTCGTGACACTCGTCTTCCTGGGCTGAGCGGGGCGCACCCCATTGGCGCCCCGCAGGAAGTGGCCACCTGGTGGAAGGCGAGGTTTTGAGTTCCCACTCCATTACTTCCTTTCCGAGCCTTGGATTTCTCACGTATAAAAAGTAGGGATAATAATAAAATCTACTTGGGGCGCCTGGGTGGCTCATTCGGTTAAGCACCAACTTCGGCTCAGGTCACCATCTCACGGTTCGTGAGTTCGAGCCCCGCGTCGGGCTCTGTGCCGACAGCTCGGAGCCTGGAGCCTGTTTCCGATTCTGTGTCTCCCTCTCTCTCTGCCCCTCCCCAACTCCTGCTCCGTCCCTCTCTCTCAAAATTAAATAAACATGAAAAAAAAATTAAAAATAAATAATAAAAGCTACTTCCGAGGGTGAGCTGGAGGATGAATTTAAGTTTTTAATGGTAAATGCCTCACACAGCTCCTGGCCCTGACTTAGTGCTTGGGAGATGGTTGTTGAATGAATGAATGAAATAGGCATTGGAATAAAAACCTTTATTGAGGACTTACTGCGTGTACAAACTCCCACCTATTATTGGAGCTTATTTAAACCTTGCAGTGACACCATGAGAGATACTCTTCTTGTCCCCTTTAACAGAGGAGGAAACTGAGGCACGGAGAGATGGACAGGATCTTGCCTAAGGGCTCAGAGATGGTCAGTGGCCCGCAGGTGAAATTTCTGGCCTTCCTGTGAGGCTCTTCCCTGCCTCACCCCTTATCACCCCCATTCCAGTTGTCTGTTGCTGCAAAACAAAGCTTCCAAACCTCAGGCACAGAAAGCAGCAACCATTTTATTATGCTTGTGAGTCCTGAGGATCAGGAGTTCAGAGAGGGCAGATTCTCTCCGCTGGGGCCTTAGCTAGGCAGACTGTGCAGCTAAGGGCTGCAGGAGTCACTTCCGAGCTGGCTTCTTCAGTCCCGGGTCTGGCTGGCTGATCTATTCGGCCTTGTGGGTGGTGAGTGTCCAGTTGCATGGAAGACTATGGGGGAAGGCTGGCAGTTGGAGGGCAAGGTGGAGAAGCAAGAGACCCCAGGGCTGAGTCCTTGGATCCCAGGGTCGGGGGCCTAGGAAGCTTGCACATTCTGGGGTCGGTACCTCCACGAACAGCTTCTGCTCCAGGCATTTGCACAGCCTGTTTCCCGGAGCTGGGCCCCCTCCAGACCCGTGTCCGGCTTCCGTTCCCAGCCTGTCCATCTGGCCCTGGAGGAGGTGCTCCCTGAGCCCCCTTGGGCTGTGTAGACGCATTTGCTGTCCCTCCTCCCAGATCCTGTCGCCTGGGGGGGGGGGGGCGCGATGTGCAGCCCTGTCACGCCATTGTAACTGACTTGAGTACAGACTGGAAAGCTCCAGGGACAAGGTCTTGGGTCTTTATCATCAGCACCCAGCACAGCCCCAGGCACACAGCAGCGCCTTGGTGCACATTTACTGAACAGATGGCGAGGTGAGACTGGTCAATTTTGAGCGACTTTAACTCGAGCCTCAGTTTCCTCTTCTGTAAGTTAGCTTGCAGCGCTGCTGTGAAGCGGCAGGAGATGACGCGGAAAGGCACGCACACAGGAGGAAGTCGGAAAGGTGATCTACATCGAAGAGAGAAAAGCAAAGGAAAGAAGATACTGCCCCCAAAGCCCTGGGTCGTGTTAATTACGTTTAAGACATTCCGATCATTAATCGTCAGTATCACTACTGCTGCTTTTGTTCTCAGAAGCATGCACGTTTCCTGAGTCTGATGGGCCGCACAGGATGGTCTGAAATCCTCCTATACGTGAACATGGGAGAAATAGAACTCCCCGAGTCACTGGGGGCTGGAGACTGGGAGGTCAGGAACTGCTACAGTCTCCATTACCACTGTAGGATGAATCCCTGTCCTCTCTGTGCGAGGGAGGGTCCGAGCCCTGGGCCTTCACTGCTGTGAATGGTTTCACCATTGCAACTGTTGTCTGTTGTCGTCCAGCCTGAGGCGGGAGGCGGCCTCCCCCTGTCATCCACCCCCCCCCTCCTGCCCACCAGCCCCATAGAAGAGAAAAGCCTTGCGTCCCCCTGTTTCTACAAAGTGCCTGGCTGCAAGTGCGCCTGCAGCGCTGTTCCTGGTTGGGCGGCGCCCTCTAGGGACAGGAGGTGGGAATGACAGGCAGGGCCGTGGTGCGGGTCCGGGGGAACCGGGACACTGTGAGCTCCCGGGTGGGGAGTCCGCCTGCGGAGCGGGCTCTGGGGGTGGCCGGTGCAGCGTGGCGGAGCTGGGCGGGAGGGCTGAACAGCAACTCCTCCGCTCGGGCCAAGCCTTGTTTTCTCTGTGGAATAGCATCTGGCATCCTAGAATTCAAATCTCACCAGAAAACTGTATAGAGGAGAGATACACACGTGAGACTCCGAAGAACCACGTTGCTGAGCCCCGCTTTCAGAATCAAAATGGCAGCTGGGATTCTAGGTCACCCGAGAGCCACCCTTTCGGCTGAGCTTGTCCTGGAATGGGTCGTTGGCTCCCACTGTCTGCCGCCAAACTTGCTGGAGACTGGTAGGCCTGGGGTACGGCCCTGGAATCTGAATTTTTACCAAAAGCGCTCCAGAAGATGCTGCTGGGCCACTCCTATTCGGGCAACGGCTTCTATCTGGTCAGCCCCCCTCTGCATCCATCAGATTGGGGGGGGGGGGCTGAGGCCCAGAAAGAAAAAATGACTTGGCCTAAAGCCCACAGATGGCTGGTGGCAGGCTGGGACTTGAACCTGGGCCCCCAGTGCTAAAGCCACTCTCACCAGCAGCCCAGGGGATTGAGATGGCTCCTTAGGATGGTCGTGCCTCCTGGGCCTCCCTGGCCCCTCCTGTGATTCATGGGGCCGAGAGGTGCTGGGGGTGGGGGCCGACAGTGCTACTGCCTTCTGTCTGTGGCTAAGCCTCCTTCTTGAGAGGAGCCTGGGGGACTGTGGGCCCCTTCTCTTCTTTCAGCACCCCCTTTGTCCCCCACACACCCAGGCCCTCTGCGCATTCCAGGGAAGACCGCCCCACATGGTTTAGATTCGGCTACTCCAAACTCATCAGCATCATGGTTTTGTAACACCCGCCTGATGCCCAAGAAGCACTTGCAAATTTCTTTTTTCTTTTCTCTTTATTAAAAAAAAAAAAAAAAAAAGTCGGGATCTTGAAACAACGACAATAGAGCATTTCAGAGGCACAAACTTTGCAGAAGAGAAGCTGGTAGTCTGGCCAGGCAAGGAAGGGCTGTGGCTGTCCTCAGGGAGGAGGAGGGGAGCTAGGAGTGAGGGCGGGCCTTTGGGGGGGGTTCAGAGGGTGTGCCAGGCAGAGGGAAGCCTGTGGGTGGACACTCTTGTGGGGTGGGGGAGTGCTACTTTGTCCCTTTCAGCCTCTCTTCCAGCCTGCACACACCCCGTCCCCAGGCCACCCCAGACCCTCAAAGCTCCTAGCTGCTGGACCTTCTCAGTTCAGGCCAGCAGGTAATGCCAGGGCAAGCTGGGAGCCCCCCTTCTGGAGAATCCGGGAGGCCAAGGAGGAGGAGGTTGGTACCATGATGGTGGAATGACAGGCAGTGAGAACAAACCCACTTCTCAGTTAGGTCTAACTGGAGACCCCCCCCCCCCCCCCCCGCCAATGTTCTTCCTGCCGGGTGTGTGAGGTTGTCACAGTGAAATACGAGTGCGCAGGGTTCAGCGGTGGCGTGGGGGAGTGGGAGAATCTTCTCGCTCCTGCCTCTTCCCTTGCTTCTTCCTTCATCTCCTCTCCAAAGGCCCCCAGAGTTGTGCCCTGCAGGGCGGCCAGTAAGTAAAAAGTCTAGCACCTGGGTTCCCTGGGTGACCTTGGGCAAGTCCCTTCTTGGGCCTCAGTTTCCCCATGAGTACAACAGGGGGCTCCAGGGTGGGGAACAGAGCAGCCTGGATAATCTCCAAATTCCTTTCAGCTTTGATGGCCTCTTCTGGGGCTTCCTATGCGAGCTGGTGACCAAGGGCCGTGGAAATGGCCTCCAGGGGCTGGCCTGAGCAGGGGGCACTCACAGCCCTGGGTTCTGGGGTCTCCTCTGGAGCAGAAGCGGGGCTGTCCGGACGCAAGCAGCCTGCCTGTACTGCGACCTGGGCCCTGCCCTTGGAAACCCCTTCTCTGCGAAGCTGGGGTCAGGACAAGGTCAGGGTAAGGCCTAGAAAAAGTGGTTTGCTTTCTTTTTTTTTTTTTTTTAAAGATTTTTTTTAATTTTTTTTTTTCAACATTTATTTATTTTTGGGACAGAGAGAGACAGAGCATGAACGGGGAAGGGGCAGAGAGAGAGGGAGACACAGAAGGTGGAAGGACACAGGGACAGAGGGTGGGGAGAGGCAAGGGCAAAGCAGCAGCAGGAACCGTGGTGGAAAGGGCTGGAGCAGGAGGCGCGGGGCGCTGGGGGCTGCAGCTCTGGGGCTCCTCAGGCGGCCGGCTGGCGGGGCCTCACGTCCAGCGTGCGGTCCAGCCTCCTGTCCTTGCGCGGGCGCCCGTCTCTCCGGCCCTTCTTCCGGCTGGGGCTCTTCTCTGCACCCAGAGCACAGGGTGTTGTTTCTGAGGCCATTCGGGGCCCCGGGAGGCCCCTCCGTCCTTCCAGATGAGGGTGGGCCCCCCACTCCCCCTGAGCGGGGCTCAGAACCACCTTTGGGTGCTGACCTTACCATCACTCCACTTTGGAGCGTGGACTGCGGGGGAACCTACCCGACATGGGCCACTGCTCCCACTTCCCTCGCGGGTGAGGAGGGGCACTGACTGGCTGAGGGCACCCCCGCCCCCACCATGCTGGGCATCTGGCCTGGCCAGGCCCAGAGGTTCGCATGGGGCGAGGGGGCCAGTCAGGACTTAGGGCGGCCTCGCGGGGGGTGCCCGTGACCCTCCTGGGGGCACTCACTTCGCAGTTTACAAGGCTCCAAGCCGGAGACTCCATACCTTTTGCCCGGGTCCCGGCACCAGCTCCCCCACTCACCTTCGGGGCCCCAGCTCTGGCCTCAGACGACAAGGACAGTAGCATTCAGCCAGCACCCCTGCATGCAGCCACGTCCCGCAGGTGTGGGAGCAGGCGCGGCCCCACCGCCCCCATATGACAGTCCGTGCTGTGGGGAGGGGTGGCCTGGCCTGCAAACCCCAGACCTACCTGGGAACCTTGACCCCACTGTACCCGCAGTCCCCCAACCCTGCGGCGGGGATGAGCTTCTAGCACAAACATCTGATTCGTCCCATTTCTCAGATAAAGTGACTGAGGCCCAACAGGGAACTTGCTTGGCTGGTGACATAGTCTGGGTTGGACTTCCTGGTGTCACTTTCAAGTGGCTCCCGGCTCACGTGGAGGAAAAGACCACCCCTTCTCCCCGCAGCCTTCCTGCCTCCACTCACCCCTCAGGGCAGATCCTGGGTCATCCTCTTAGATGAGGCTGTCCACCTCTGGGCCTCCCTTCACCCACTCCTGAACCCTTAGGGGTTGCTTAGGCCAGGCTCCCACTCTAAACTCCGGGGCTGGCTGTGTCAGCTGAAATGACATAAGCATCTGGGGGATGAAGGGTGGCCACTGCCTGAGTGGCTGTGCCAGCTTTGAAGGTAGGAGGGTGGGGTGAGTGGTGTGGGGTCCCCAGCCCTTCCCTCTGCCTGCCTGATATGGGCCCACCTTCCTCCCATCCACCCACCCATCCACTCCTCAACAAATGTTAACTGAGCACCTACTGTGTGCCAGGCCCTGTTCTAGGCCCTGGAGAGGCAGCCGTGAACAAGGCGGACAAAGACTCGGCTTTCACCGGGGATCGCATTCTAGTAAGGAAGACAGACCCTAAACAAGGCAGCACAAGAGTGTGCGCCATCATTTTGGGAGGAAGTAAGCGCTGTGACACCACGGGATGGCGGTCCCAGACACGGGTGGTGTCTCTCCGCAGGGGCAGTCGTGGAGGGCCTCTCTGCGGAGGGGACTTTGAGCTGAGCCCCAGAGGATGCAAGTACCTCACAGGAGGGTTGTCGTGAGGACGAAAGGCATCGGTTTACAGAGCACTGACCACAGGGCCCAGCGCATGAATGTTTGCTGCTGTCATTCATTCTTCATTCATCATCATCATCATCATCACCTATGGGAAGACATTTCCTCTCTCTCTGTCCCTCCATTGCCAATCACCACCAGCAATCATGTGCCGTGACAGGTGCTGTAGAGAACTTTCCGTCTGTCCGTCTGTCCACGTGGGTGTTTTTGGGGGCCTGGGGTCTTAGTTTCCCCAGTCCCGTCTCAACCTCACCCTCCGTCCCCGGCCGCCCAGCTCTGCTGTCTGCACTCCCAACCCAGACGACAAGTGCTCCTGAAACCAGGCGTGTCCCTGGGCTCGAGTCCTGGCCCCACCACATGCCAGCTGTGTGCCCCCCCCGCCCCGTGACCTGGATCCGGGTTCCTTACACTGACTCTAGATTCCTCTTTGCACACAGACCTACGTTTGGATCCCAGGTCCACACTTTCCTAGCTGCATGACCCTGAGGCAAGTGACAACCTCTCTGGGCCCCGATCTCCTCATCTGTTGAAGGGGGATGGTAACCATTCCACACCATCGAGTCATGGTGCAGATTAAATGACCCAAAGGTGGAGAATTAGCACACTGGCCACGGCAATAGCAGATGCACAGTTAATGCTGGCCCCCTGCGCATTATTGCTACTCGCTGTTCACGTCGTACCTACCACCCTCCGCGGGCTCTCTTCTCTTTAAGTCAGTGGCTTTAATAGCTGGGACTGACCCCAGCCAGGAAGGACACCGGGGTGGGCGATGCTTAGCCCATGGGAAGGAATGGCTACTCTTGGACTTTCGGGCAGCCCTACAGGCACTATTTGGGCAGGCGATGTCCCCAGCTGCTCAAAGTCCCCCGTGGGCCCTGCCCACTGCAGCCCCGAATGCCGGCCTGGTGCTCACCTGCTGGGCAGGGCCTCTGGATGGGACATTTCCGTGACTCGGACAGCACCTGGCAGGTGTCTGCCTCGTCCCTCCCGGCCCGGCCGGCCTCCCGCACCCGGGTCTCCAGGCCCCAGGCCGAGCCACAGGTCTTCCCGTTGTGCATGCAGGGGCTCCAGCTGCCCCAGGGGCCCAGCTCACATTCTTCTGCTGGGTGGAGACAGACAGACAGACAGACAGATAGACAGTTCTGGTCAGCTGGCAGTGAGTGTCCTTCAGATCCAAGGGCAGGGTCTGAGGGGTCCCGTTCCCCGAACGCCGTCTCCACATGCAAAGGGTTTGCAAGCTCTCACAAGGAGCAGAGGGGAGACACTTAAATATCTATTTATGAGAGCCCGGGATGGGCGCTAGACTAAAGCATGCCCAGGCCAGATGTGGCGGGGGGAAGGGGGTGGGGGGTGACCACTGGCTTTAGAGGGGAAGACTTCCCCCAGGAGATGACAGAGGGGCTAAAGGGAGAGGAGGTGATCCAGTGGGACCGGAAGGAAGCACCATGAGGGTAGGCGTGCACAGCCCTGGGGGCCTGGCAGACCGTGTCTGAGGGATGGCAGCTAGAGCAGGGGCAGGGTGAAGGCTGGGAGGAGGAGGGCCAGGCGAAGAGGCCAGAAGGTCTGCTGGGAGGCCCTCAGGGCAGAGACACTGCTTCGACCTTGATCGTGTGCCTTTGATGGGCTGTGGAAGGTGGAAGCCGTGCTGTGCTGTTGTGAGGAAAAATGAGGTCATGGGACATGAACGTCCTCAGTAGGAAACAACTTTAAAAAAACCCATATATATATATGTACATAGATATCAAATCATATCATATAAATATGAATCAAATGTGAACATATATATTTTTTATATTTATATATTTATAATATATATTTATAAATTTCTATAATAAATATAAATATATAAATATAAAAACATATAATAGAAATATATTATAAATATATATTATAAATGTATATAAATATATATATTTATTAATATAAGTATATATATTTATAAGTATATATTTATATATTTATATTTACTTATAAATATATATACATTATAAATATGTATAAATATATATACATCATAAATATATATAAATATATATATTATATATTTGTTCACATTTGATTCTTTTAAGAGCCCCTGAGAAGTAGGCAAAGAACAGGGCAGCTATGGGATACCCCCATTTTGCAGATGAGGCCACTGAGGCCTTGAGTACCTAAGGGGCCCGCTAAGGGAACAGAGAAGGGGGTTCAACATCAGAACACTGTAAGCGTTTCAGACCCGATCGGGCCCAGAAGCCAGGTCTGCAGGCCTGAGAACAACGGTCCTTTTGCTAGATGTGTTGATTTGACAAGCAGGGACTGAGCACCTACTGTGTGCCTCATGCTGTGCTAGGTGCTGAGTGGCAGCGGTGACCAGACCGACTGGCTCTGCCTCCCAGAGTTCACCGCCTAGAAAAGTCAGGCCGGAAGGGCAGGGTGCTCCTGCGGTAACGGGAGGAAGCACAGGCAGGTGCCGGAGCCCAGAGGAGGCATGGGCCCCAGGGGCCTGGGGGGAGCTGGAAGACTTCCTGGAGGAGGTGACTCCTGACCTGAAGCTTGAAGTAGGGGTGGGGAGGTTAGCCAGGCTCAGGGAGGAGCGAAGGGGAGAAGTGAAAAGGATGTGAACCCGGGTCTGTCTTATTCCTCGGCAGTCCTCTTCTCGTGACCTCTGCTGCCTCCCCCTGGCAAGGACAGCGAAGCCGCTGTCGGTAATAACGGCAAATCACAGTGCCGGTGCTGGAGGCTCCCTCTGTGTGCCTGACGTCACCTGTTGGGCCTCCAATCACCACGCGACATTCTCTTAAGGTTTTTCCCGGCTCTCCTGACGCCCCCCCCCCCCCCCCCCCCCCCCCCCCCCCCCCTCGGCGGGCGGTGGTGCCCGGCCCCCCCCCCCCCCCCCCCCCCCCGCCCCGCCCTGCAGGGAAGCAGGCGGGGCGAGGAGGCCCCCACTCACCCTGGCACTCCTGCGTGCTGGGCTGGGCCGCGGTGCCCAGCGGGCAGGTGGGCAGACACTTCCCCTTGTACAGGTAAAACCGCCGCTTGCACCGGATGCAGAAGTCCTGGCTGAAGCAGCTCTCACACGTGGCCCCACATTCTGCAACAGAGCCAAGGTCACCCGCGGTGAGGGCGGCTGCCCTCGGAGAGGGCAAGCGGCTCGTCTGATGTCGTCACATAGCAAATCTAGGCTGGGAGTGCGGACTTTCTGCCCCATTTCCATCAAAGCTCAAAGATGGCCATGGTGTGTCCCGGGTCGCCATGCAAAGCAGAGTCAGGACTTAGGACTCCTTTTCTCGCTTGAGCTAGGTCCAGAGGGCGCGAGTTAACACGCCCAAGGCCACACAGCGCATAGGGTGGAGGCGAAGGTTCCCTGCCCCCTTAGCGCTGAGACCAGACAGGACACTGACTTGCTTGCAGCTTCGGAGTCAGCCTGAAACCCCGCCTGAAATCCCAGAGTCTGGGCTCAGGCACAAACCAGTTGCCCTGTGGCCCTGTCGGGGTGGGGGTGGGGGGGTGGGGGGGAGGGGGCGGACATGGGCCGGAGGCCTCAGGGGCCGAGCACGAGCACAGGACAAGGGAGGAACCACGTACTTTTGCACCTGTTGAACTCCTGGCCGCGGACGCCGAAGTAGCCAGAGGGACAGTCATGCACACACTTGCCATACTGGCGGATACCTTCCCGGCGGATGAACAGGAACAACCTCTGCTGGCACGTGGAACAGCCGTTCTCCTCGGAGCAGATGATGCAGCCCGTGCAGTTGCCCCCCGGACCAGTGCCCGCTGCCAGCCAGGCCGGGGTGGGAGGGGAGGGGGAGGGGGAGAGAGAGAGAGAGAGAGTCAAACCACGTAGGTGAGCAGCTCAGACTGCCTCGCGGAGCGTATTAACTGAACACACGGCCACCCAGACGAACGACATTTCCCCCACGGCCAGGTATGATCACGTGACCCCAATCTGGCCACTGGGGTATAAGGGAGAGCAACGTGCACAACCTCTCAAAAGCTGCCTTAACAAGCACGGGCGGGCCCCGTGTCACCCCCTCGTCCTTCCTGTTGTTGGAACATGAACATGATGGCCGGAACTCAAGCAGCCATTCTGGACCATGAAGTAGGAACCCCGTGTTGGGGATAGCAGAGCAAGAAAAGCAAAAGAGCCTGGGTCCCTGAGGAAGGTAGAACTTGTGTGCCAGCCCTGGACTGCCTGTGCCGACTTACAAGAGAGAGAAATCAATGTCTCTTTTGTTTAAACCATTGTTATCTGGAGTTGTCTATAACTCACAGACAAACTTAACCTTCAGGGAAATGGTGTGTATTTTTGAGCGTGTGGGGGGTGGGGTGCACATGCATGTGCGGGGTTGGGGAGACCCTCGGCCCCCTGCGGCAGGTCCGAACAATACTCCGTTCCTGCCTGTCACCACCATCAAGGGCTCCCAACATCATCAAGCGTAGCAAGTTGAGGAAAGAAAATTTTTGTTGCCCCAGAATCAGCAACCAGACCCAAAGCTGGGAAGAAGGAGATGGAGAATACTCTAGAAAGAGATCCTCTCCCAGGCTCATGGTGGGGGGGGGGGGGGGGGGCTTTGTTCTCTCCTGGACCACGTGATTAAGCTCCCCACTTAGAGAGCGGGGCTCAGGGGACACTGGAATTGTCAGCCTGGGGGGGGGGGGATTGCTGTGGCTTTCCTTCTGTTCCCAACCCCCAGAACCAAACGAGGAGAGGTGCAGGGTGCTCCTCACAGAGACGGGGTGTCTGCAAAAAGAGGTGACCAGCTTCTCATGCCCTGGGGGGACACTCGCTTGTGTTGGAGCCCTGCAGATCTGCCCCTTTCCAGGCCTCTCTGAGCAGAGAAAAGAGGCCAAGGGGAGAGAAGGCCAGGGCTGAGTGGGTGTGCAGCAGTGAAAGAGCCTGCGCATCCCTCATGGCAGGCACGAGGGGCTTCTCGGCGGCAAGGGCCCCGTAGAAGTACCCAGGCTTCGGTGGTCTTGCCATTGCCTTACCCAGGCAGGCTGGTTGATGGCAAGTGTCCCGGTAAGAGGCAGCAAGGGAAACCATGGAAGGCAGGAGCCGAGGAGAGTCAGAAAGTGACCAGGTGTCGCGAAGGATCAAGCAGCTTCTTCGAGGTGATTGGGGACACATTAAAAATATATATATATTTTTTAACGTTTATTCATTTTGGAGAGGGAGACAGAGCGTGAGCTGGGGGAGGGGCAGCGAGAGAGGGAGACACGGAATCCGAAGCAGGCTCCAGGCTCCGAGCTGTCAGCACAGAGCCCGACGTGGGGCTCGAACTCACAAACTGCGAGATCGTGACCTGAGCCGAAATTGGATGCTTATCTGCCTGAGCCACCCAGGTGCCCTGGGGACACATTACACTGTTCCACATTTATACCCCGTTTAAGGTCAGACTGCTTAATACACCAGTTACACACCTCAGCTCACTGAGCCCATGGCCACTCAGCACAGGATGTTCTTGACTTTCCAGCTCTGCCCCCTCTTTCTGTTGGGGCCCGACCTGCCTTTTAGAGGAATTCCCCATTGTGTGAGAGAACCTGGAGAAGGGCCAATCCCGGTGTCCCCCTGGAACAAAAACCAAGGAGGCCAAGCCCTTCTTCAAGTTGGCAGTGACTGGGCATTGACCAATCAGATACTCATTCCCATGACCCCGAGTCCTGGGAGTCGAACAAAGAGAGTAAGGAGGATATGTGGGGATAAGGGTCCAGGTAGAAGCCAGCTGACTGCCCAGACCAGCCTGGGGCCTTTCTGCCCCCCCCCCTTCCCGCTGTGGGGTGGATCCTGCATTTCTCCCAGCCTGATCTCCAGCTGCCTGGATTCTGGGAGCCCCCCACATCCTGCTGCTAAGTCCCCTTGCTGTTGCTTACAACTGAGAACCCTCACTAATGTTCCTGGGAAGAGCAGAGTCGAGGTTTGCGTGTTTCCAAAGCTGTAGACCCGCAGGAACCTGGGGGCGGAGAGAAGGTGTGATGTCGTAAGAGGGTAACCCCCGGGGCCAGAGAGAGAACTTCAGCTGAAAAAACGAACAGAGCCCACACCTCCCGCCCAACGGGAGACAAGTTAAATTCTGATAATACAAAGGGCTGGCAAGGATGAAAGGAAACTTTCCGTTCTGATAGGAGTGTAAACGCTGGAGAAAAATCCAGCAGCATCTAGAACATTTGAGGATGTGGCTTTGCCGAACACAGCTGCTTGACTTGTGGTCTAAACCCTAGAGCAGAGCTTCTCAAATTCTTGTACCAGCCTCTTGGAGGGGGCTTGTTACAACACACAGCGCTGGGTTCCACCCTGAGTGTCTGATTCAGTAGATGTGGGGTGGGGGGGGGGTGGCGAGGGGATGCTGAGAATTTGTATTTCTAACTGGTTCCAGGTGATGCTACTCTGTTGCTGCTGGTCCCTGACTATGCTCTCAGAACCACTGACACAGAGAGACTCTGGTGTCTGTGCCCAGAGAGACATGAGCAAGATGTTCACTGCAGCATCACTGAATAGCAAACAGTTGCAAAAACCCGTGTATCAAAAGAAGAGGGAAACACAGGTGGCACGCAGCCGTATACGCTGGCCACATTCCATATCCAGGACCCATGATAAATGCCTGAGGCTGAGTTGTAGCTGTCATTATGGATACATTTCAAAGACGATGCTGAGAGCAAAGAAAGCAAACGGCATAATGAACATAATGAATCGCGCAGGAAGAGACCATTCGTAGCAAGTTCCAAACTCTGCGAAGCAATACTCTGGGTCATTTACGATACTTAAATTTGTATTAAGAGTAAAAGACACAGGGGACCGATGAAACACTGAATTCAGAATGGGCTCCTCCTCCGAGGTGAGGTGAGAAGTGGGAGAGGGGATTCAGGAAGAAGGCTGGAGACTTCTCTTGGATCTGTAGTATTTAATTTCTGAAAATCTGCAACAAATACGAAAATGGCAATATTTGCTACAAGTGGCTGGCAGGTGTACAGATGTCCATTAGGTTTTTTATTCTTGCCTGTAGGGTTGAGCTACTTTACAATAAAAATATACTTCAAAAAATGTTTAGCCTCTGTTGTGTGTGTGGGTTGGGGGAGGGAAAAGCGGGGAGAGGACATCTAATCCTACCCCTCCCAGCTTCCTTCCCCAAGCCCTGGCCCATCCTCGAGCTGAGGCCTTGGGCAGGGGACGGTGACAGAAGTTCTGAGAGCCATGGAGACCTGCAGCCATGAGAGCTATGAGAGTTGTCCTCCCTCCCCCCATGTTCATTCTCCCTCCTCCTCAGTAAGGGAACCCTCCTGTTTAGCGAATTAATGTCTTCCAAGAACAAAGACTACATTTCCCAGGCTCCTTTGCAGTGGTATGGGATGATACATCTAAGCTCTGACCAATGGGCTTCCAGTGGGAGTGTCCTGTGCCACCCGCCAAATGACCCGCAAAGAAGAGCTGCTCTATTTGCCTCCCCTTCTTTGTGGGCCTGCGGGGACTGCAGACTTGGAGGCAGGAGCCAGGGCAGGTGCAGGCGGCAGAGGGACCTGGCAGAGAGACCAGGGCGAGGCCATACTAGCCCAGGGCAGTCTACCTCACATTCTCGTTTGGGAGAGGGAGGAAAGTGTCAATCCTCTTGGTTAAGCCATGAGGACCGCATGATAACGACTGATGATGTGGGCTTTTCATCAACCATGCAGGTGGTCACAGAGTGACGTCAGTGGAGACCAGGGTACCTCTCCCCAGTGCTTTGATGCTATGAAATGCCGCTGGACCTGAGATGCAGCCCCACCAACAAAGGGCAAAGGGAACCTCAATCGGCTTGAGGCGATCTCTGCCGCTTGGCAGAACAGGAGTTCAAATTAGAAGTTATGTTCAGTTACAGAAAAACAAAATCGTATTTCCTGCACACTGAGCGTGTGGACATACTCACACCCCAACTTGGGGGTCCTTGTCCACAATGCAGGGGAGGAAACAGGCTCAAAGAGGCGAAAGTCACTCTCAGGGTCCTGCAGAATCATTGGAGGCAGGGATCCACTCTGTCAGGCAGAGCCCGGGGCCACGGGGACGAGCCACACATGCCCCCTGCCGTTATGGGACCTCACAGCCTGGTGGGAGGGCTGAAGCCCACAGAAGTGGCAGACAGGGCAAAGTAAAACTTCTTCCGGTCTCTGGGAAGAGCTTCGGGATCATTTGCCTGACCCCTGCAGTTTCACTGGGGATCCTGAGGCCAGAAGGGGTGGAGCCTTCCCCAAGGTCAGGCAGCCCAGCAGCAAATAAGCCCCAATTAGAGATACAGCACTATTTGTAGAGTGATATCTTGACATGCCGAAGACAAAAGAACCTGATAAGGACCCTCCCCTGACCTCGGAGGGTGTGTGTGTGTGTGTGTGTGTGTGCGCGCGCGCACATGGGTGCACACATAGGGGACAGATGTCACTAGCATCTTTCAACCCCAGGTGATTCTGCCTCGTCCTGCATCCTTGGTCCTGGTGGTTGGCTAGGATGCCCTCTAGTGCCTCTATGTTGTAATGACTTTAAATTCTGATGGTCTGTGGCTTTTCATCACATCTCTAGAACGTGTTGAAAAGAGCAATGCTATTTCTCCCCTCCCCAAGGTCATGGCTGTAGAGACAAGATAATGCTAAGAATCATAAGTGATGACAACTAGAATTTGTACCATGCTGCTTTAGAAAGACCCAAACTTGATAGTTCTTAAACTTGACTGTGTGTAAGAATCCCCAGGGAGGCTTGGTCTGAGCCCAAGAATGTGCATTACAGTAAGTCCAAAATAAATGTGATAGGCATT